GGAGGGGTGGAGGGGTGGAGGGCTGGAGGGGTGGAGGGGATGAGGCGCAGGCGTCTGTCCGCACGTTTTAGGGCTCGGTTTGTAAGGACACCGTGTCCTCTCCGCCCCTCCACCGACAGGCAGCCCCTCCCTTGCTGCAGACGGCGCCCGGTCGCTCCAGCGTGGGTGGCGAAGCGTGCACCCACAGCTGCCCTGGCGACATCAGAACCCAAGGGCACAATGAGCCTCCGCGAGGGCCACTTACCTGGGAGTGGCGCTCTTTGCTCAGGCCAAAAACACAGTCCTGAACTCTGAGAGGCGTCCTCAGCGCCTCAGACGCCCGCCTTGTACCACGAGGCAGGCGCCCCGGACCCGAGCCAGCCCCCACGAGGACGGGCCACAGCCTAATGGCACACAGAACGGTCATGTTCCCGAGGACAAACGGGCAGGGTGCACCTGGAAGGCACCTGGTCTTCGCACGGTAGAGCACGGCCACCACGCTCACAGGGACAGAAGCCACGCGCACTAAGGAACACGAGGGGTTCAGGGCGACACGTGCGGGGTGGGGAGCAGGCGGGCCCTCTGAGAGGGCGGCATCAAAGGCGCAGGGCAGCTGCTCTGTCAGCCCGTGTCGGCCCGTGTCGGCCCGTGTCGGCCTGTGTCGGCCGGCGGAGAACCGGGCGTCTCGGGTCTTCGCTGCTGCTGAATCGCATTCACCACTCAAACCAGTGCAAACCCGTCTCTCTCTGTCCAATCAGAAAGGTGTGCAAAACAAAAGCGAACGCACGTGACCAAAGTTAGTTAGCAAATAAGCTGTTCATCATCGTGATATAAAACAGGGAGCTCAGAGAACCACCTCATCCACGTGAAAAGCGGGAACGACCCTCCTCACACAGCTGACGGCATCCGGGGGTCCGGAGCCAACGCCGGCTTTCCCCCGGGAGCAGCGGTCACCCGCCCAGGGGTTCCACGGCCACTGCTCCCAAGTGGCCACAGGCCACCGGGGCCCAGGGTGAGCCCCTGAGGACAGAGCTCAGGCCTCAGGCCAGCATCAGTGTCCAAGAATGACCCCTCAATCACGACTGCCACACAGCAATAAGAAAGGGGGTGACCCGCACTTGTGCTCCCCTCTGGGTGGGAAAACAAAGCCAGGTCCTCGGGGATTCCATCAGTCGTCACAAAATAAAGCCGCCGAGGAGTCTGCCAGGGCCTAGGGCCCGGTGTCTTTTAGACAAAACCCACCCCAAACAAAACGAAACGAAACGAAATAAAACGAAACAAAACGAAACAAAACAAAACAAAACAAAACAAAAACCAACCCCAAACAAAACAAAACGAAACGAAACAAAACAAAACAAAACCCACCCCAAACAAAACAAAACGAAACAAAACGAAACAAAACAAAACAAAAACCAACCCCAAACAAAACCTTTTCCATGGGGGAAGAAAAGCATAAGCAAAGTGCGTTCGACACAAAAGGTCTTGGCTTCTGTGGCACGAGGCGCCTCTGACGAGTGTGGCCGGGCTCGGGGGAACGCGGGCATTTTGTTTAGGGCACAGAATCTCAATCAAAGGGTACAAACTGCTTCTTTGAAAAAGATGTTTATTAAACAATTTTAATTGTCATAAAATGACTAAAATGGGTTTTAAAAATTAAGGCTCTTCTCTTTCTGTGGATTGCCAGAACAATGTAAAAATAATATCAATCAACCCTGCTGAACGCTTTGTTCCTAAAGTTAAATTTCATAGATTCCTAAACATTTTATGATTAAGATAAAAAATCGGACTATAAATGACAATGGCCGTCCGTACTGAACACACACTCTGATCAGGTGTACAATATTCTAATTGAGGAGTTAAGCGAGAATATTCCAGTTAAAGCGGAAATTTTAATTTTAGCATTTGAGTCACTGTTTCCCACACCGCCGTAACTTCCCTAAGATCGCAACGGTCTAACACAGGAACGCTAACCCTGGGGCTCCCGAGAGGGTGACTGACTTGGCTGGCAATTAGTTTGATTATATTTTTTAAACGTTCTAAGGTGAATTATCAAATGATTCAGAATTACATGGCATGCAGTATCCAAAATTATGGCTCTGATGCATTTAGATTTACATTAAGAATAAGAAGTGTCATTCACATTCATTGTACACCCCGCCCCTCCCGCAAGAAAAAAAAATCACTACCTATTCAAGTTCTAGCTCTGGTGCAGCATTAAGGGTTGAAACTTACCACTTTCCCAGGCCTTCCCCATGTGCAAATAAATCCCTCCTGACAAGCAGTGACTATACAGTCTTCGAGAAAAATTAACACAGTCAGTCTTTCGTGTGCTATCTTTTTACAGACGAGTGGCTCTAACAAGGGGACGTCTTCCATGCGGGGACACAGGGGCGTGCCCAGGGTTTTAGCTGGGTCCGTTCTGGTTTTGGTAACGAGGTTCAGTTTGTCGCTGCTCTTGCTGGAAATGTGTCCCATGCTGTGGTTTCGCTTGTGGTCTTTCTCGTGGTGCCTGTCCTTCCGGTCGTGCAGTGAGAGAGTGGCGAATTTGCTGACCCCAGAAGCGATGGCTCCGTCGGCGACGCTGCTCTTGCTGCCGGCATTAGAGACGGTGGAGTGCGGGAGGCTGTTGGACCGCGGCAGAGGGGGCGCCGGGTTGCCGGGCGTCGTGACGCTGTTCCCAGTGCTGCCGGCGGGAGGACTCGTGGCGTTCATGACGTTTGTGTGTGTCCTTGCTCTCGAGAGGGGCTGGTGGGGGAAAAGGATGTCTTCCGTGAGGTCCCACAGGCAGAGCTGCGTGTCCTGGCCCACCGAGCCGAAGCGGTAGGTCACACTGACGGGGCGGCTCTCCGTGGAGTTCCGCTTGGACAGCCGGGACTGTGTGCTGTTCGCTCGGTCTCTGCCGAAGTGGAGGAGGTCCTGGAAGTCCTCGTCGCTGCCGCTGAACTCCATCGGGTCGCCGCCTTCCACACTGGTGGTGTAGGGATCAAACGCCACGACGCTGACCCAGGATTTGTGCCCATGGCCTCGCGCTATCACTCGGCAGTCTACAAAAGACCAGACCGTCACCAGGTCGTCCTCGCCACCGGTCACGATGTACTTGCCGTCCGGGCTCCAGCACACGCACAGCAAGCCTCCAAAGTAGCTTTTCATCGTGCCGTGCAGCTCCACCGAGTCAAAGTTGAACACACGCAGGAACCCGTCCTGGCTCACGCACGCCAAGAACTTGCCATCTGGGGAGAAAGCAAACTCGTTGAGGGCCCCCTCGCCCACCGTCCACTTGAGGAGAGGGTTCCTCGTGGATTTGCTCTTGCAAGTGTGCACGGCAAAGCTCTCCCCCTGCTTCAGGAGCTGGTAGTGGGGGGCTGTGGTGCCACAAGTGTGCTCCACATTATACAAGTACATGTTCCCACTCGAATGGGCTACTAGGAAAAGGCTTTCCGAACCGGGAACCCATTTGACACAGGTTACGCGTGACTTGTCTATTAGTCTCTGTGAAGACAAAGGAGAACAAGTTATCACAATGGAGCAGCTGACAGGGCTACTTTCCAGCAAGCGAGCTCGGCTGCTCGGTGGGGGCTGGTCCCTCCGGGCCCTCCACACCCCATCCGTGCCCGGCCCGGCCTGCAAGGGGCGCTCCGGCCACCTGCAGAATCACTTTCTAGAACTGCTCTCGGGTGTGAGGCCCCTGGCTTTCACTGAGGGAGTCAATCATTCGACAGATGCCGTAGCAGGCCCTGGGGCACACTGCTCAGAGGGCCTGCCCTCGGCACTTGTCACTTCTCACGCTGGGAGGGCCTGCATCTACGCTTCATGGCACCTACGCGCAGCCTCGCGGGCCCCTCTGCGTGTACTGGCTGTCACCTGGCCCTGCTCTGGCTGCTCAGTGTGGCTCCCGCCAAAGCCCGCACAGCTCCCACACATGCCCTGGTGCCACCTCAGCCCTGGCAGCACCGAGGCCGCCTCACTCAGATTCGCTGTCCTGCGTGCACCGTTACAAGCGATTCGCCCAAACCTCCTTTGAACAAGGTGGTGTTTAAGCGATGAACAAGGATGACTCGGGAGCGGGTGCCTAACGCTGCCGCCCCCCTGCCCGTTTGCTTCTGCTGCACTGACGACATCCCTGCAGTGGGCACGGCCTAGGTGTCCAGCTTCCAAACCAGAAGCACGAAAAGGCCAGACGTGTAACCCGCCCGGCGGCACGGTCCCTGCCCCTGCCCCACCTGCAGGCCTTGCCGGGGCCACGGGCACGGCGGGGTGGCCCTCTCCAGGGTGCCCGGGCCCAAAGTCGCACTGCCAGACACCATCCGGAAGCCCCCGAGTTCTTCGCAGACACACACTGCCAAGCGGCTTCTGCTGGTGCCCTGGCGACCACATGGACCTGCCACCTCCCCTAAGCGGCTGGGGTTCCTTGACCCGCCAAGAAGCAGGGCACCTCCCACCTTGTCGGCTTTGTGCCCTGTGACTGCCACATTTTACAGAAAACGAAAAAACAGGTTTTTCAAAGAGACATTAACGAGCGACGCTGCTGGTGTGGAAAACGAGGGCCCAGGGGCTCACGAACCGCGGCTGGACAAGGTCACTCAGCAGCGGGTGTCACTGCTTGCTGCTCTGCAGTGTCACAGCCATAGGATGGCCCGGCTAGCCCTCTGAAATTAACAGACGAGGCAAGCTGGCCTCGGGGACACACACTGCATTTTCACACCCTGCCTTTCTTTCCCTGTCTGCCTGGTGACTGACCTCTAAAAGGCACCTGACCGCCACGAACGCCAACGGCCAAAGAGCCCAGCACTGCTTGGGCGGGGTTTCCGCGAGCCTGTCCCCATTTCTTCCACAGGATGTCACAGAGGTGGCTAGCGAAGCCAGGTCGAGGCTTTCGTTTCAGGAGGGCCTACCCCAACCCACCAGACCTTGCTGCACCCAGAAGGCCAAGGCTGCCCCAGCGTTCCCGACCCCAGAAGGGTGACTGGCCTGCTGGTCCCATGTCTAAGGGTCACCACAGCTCACTGCCCATCGGTCGTCAGCTCCTGCACCCCACAGTTCCCTGCAACCAAGTCACATCTCAGTCTTCCAGGCTCACCTGTTACTCTACCATATGTGGAAAGTTTTAAGGACAGACATAGAAACTTCCAGTACTATGGAAGTTTTTAGGAGAAATTTTATTTTTGGCTTAAAGAAACACAACAAAAACAATCCCATTAGAACTCGAAATTATAATACTGTCAAGTGAAAACAGTGTCGCCCCGTAGCTGTGAAGTACGAAGATGACTATCACAGCACCGTCATCGAACTAAATGTTACCGGGATGACGAGACACAGCCAAAGACTTCATTCCGTATGGAGAAGGTGCGCTGAGAACGCTGTAAGTGGACGCAGGATTGTACCTTATGACGAAGACCTGAGCCCGTATTCTGTGCCCTGCCAGGGCCCCTACACACACCCTCAGCCATTCAGCCACTCCCTGGCACTCGGGGACCAGGCCAGTTTAAGCGCCTGCAGCCAGACACGTAAAGGGACCGTGGGTCCAGCGCTCCGGGGCAGGGCTTCTCACCTGCTCCACTCCAGCGGCTTTCCTGTCGTGCGCTCAGGCACAGGGACAAGAGAGGCTTCATGGGGTACCCGGGGCTCGGCCACAGCTGGGGTGCATGGCGCCCCATCAGAACAGCAGCACTAACTTCCGATCTGAGGACCTACTCTGCGCGCCGGGCCTGGGGCACGGGGCTCTGCACACGCGCTCTTCAACCCTTCGAGAACCCTGCAGGGCAAGCTTTCGCTTTCCTAACAGATGACACATAAAGGGCACAGGAGAAAGCCTCGACCCCCTCCTTCCCTCCACGCCAGGTCCCGTCCCCAGCTGCTGCCAGCAGCTCCTTGTCCCCCTCCAGAGCGTCCCCCTGTGCGAACAGGGAGCGAACGCACCCGCCCTCGGTTTTCATACTGAAGGGCACACTACGTGCTGCCTGTGCCTCTGTGGCTCGCTCGGTGACACGCCCGGCCCGCTGTCGCACTGGGACGAAGACGGGGTCCTCATTCCCTCCTCACACTGCACGGCACTCGGCTTTATGAACGCACTTAGTTGGTTTTATAAGTCCCCAACCGACGGACATTTATGTAGCAATGAACCACCCTGTGCATGCGGCGGTTTCACACGCAGGACTATCCCCTGCAGGATAAACTCCCAGTGGAGCAGCTAAGTCAAAAGGTACCTGCATTTAGTTTTTACAGACCGCCAAATTTTCTCCCATGGAGGATAAAACCGTTTCTAGTCCCATCAACAACGTGAGTAAGAGGGTCTGGCTCCCCACAGCGAGGTGGGTGTTACTGCCATGTCACCCGCCAGGAAACGAGGTCCGAGGTCAAGGAAGCGCCAAGACCCACTCACTCACCCGCTCAGTCACCACTCACGCCCAGCCCGTCCTCCGTATCCGAGACGCGACCAGCTGCAGATCGAAAATAATCGGAAAAAAAGTTCTGTTGCTGGTGACAACGTTCACGGTGGCTGCTGATTGTGTCTGTACTGAACACATACAGTCTTTTCTTGTGTCACTATTCCCTAAAGAATACAGTGTAACAGCCGCGTACGTTGTCTTAGGTATTACAAGTAATCTGGAGAAGAGGTGAAGTCGCATGCTGACACCACACCGCTTAGTAAGGGGCTTGAGCACCCTCAGTCTCCAGGGGGTTTCTGGAGCCAATCCCCCATGGATACCAGGGGACTACTTTGCTCAGTACTTTTTCTCTCTGTATCGAATGCACAGCATACCCCAGGTACCGATACAGCACTGATTAAAACACACCAGACGTCCCTTGCCTGGAATTTACATTCGAGAGGGATGGACAAACAGAGACATTTCCAGGGTCTGGTGGGAATGAGTGCTGAGGAGAACCAACCAACCAGGGAGACGAGGCAAACCCGGCGGGGACGGGACTGCAGTGCCGTCAGTCACAAACAGCGGGGCCAGGAAGGCGTCCCTCTGGCAGCGAGGGCAGGCGAGCGAAGACGGGAAGGACGCCGACTGCAGCCGAGAGGGGGGAGAGGGG